TTAATGGGACTCTGTTTTGGACCATAATCAAGGTCAAGGCACTCCCCGTATGGTAACTGCAGTTTTGAAAGGTAGAACAACAGAAACCCAATAAGTAAGAAGCTGGAGACTGTTAGAGAGCAGCCAAGGATAGAAGGGGAAGCCCTCTGCAAACCCATTGGCTTCATCCCATCCATGGGCATCCCACAGATGGCCCTGGGTCTGGGTGCGCTCACCCAGCTGCTCGTCTTCCTCTGAATGGCTGTTGCTCAGGCTTCTTACACTGACCTAATGGAAGCAGACACTTAAGCTGGTTGTCTCAAGGAGGCAGTCTGTAGAAAAGGAGAAAGCCCACAAGCCCAGATAGCTGGAGAAACATCCAGCCAGTAAAGGGAGACAGGTAGCCTCAAGGTCCCCTTCCCCCTTCCCCCTTACTCCTTCCTTCCCCTGTCTCCTCTATCAAGGCCGTCAGCTGGAGTCCATCCGGGCTGAGGTAGCTGAGAAGGGTGACGTGGGACTGGTGGCCGAGAACAGCCGCAGCACTCAGAGACTCATGCTGCCCCCTCCTCCGCTCACCACCTCCGGGGTCTTTACCAAATTCTGTGACATTGCCCGGCTCACTGGCAGTGCTGTAAGTGGATCAGGGTGGCTCATCCCAACACCCCGATGTCCCGGGACCTAAAGCAACGCATGTGGATGGGACCTTGCGCTCTGACTGTGGGAGCTGACTGTTCTTTTCTGCTGGCGTGGGTCATAGTGTCTCATCCTGTTCTCCTCTGGAGACCCTGGCACCTAGTGCCATGCCTCCTGGGGGTGGGGGTCAGAACTCTTGTTAATGCTTGTCGGATAAAGAGAGAGAAGCAAAGAGAACTAGTTAATTGCCAATGTCCTCTGAGCAAAAGGCTACATACAACAGGTGGCGGTGGCGGCAGCTTTTCTAAGAATGGAAATCGTCTGGTTCCTCCTCTGATGGTGCCTTGCCTGTTGTCCACTCTTTTCAGTCCATGGCCAAGAAGTTGGATGTCATCAAGGGCCTGTTTGTTGCCTGCCGTCACTCGGAAGCCCGGTTCATTGCCAGGTAAACACGGGGCTCCTGAGATTGGGGAGGTTTAGGGGCCTAGGTGGTGAGCACCTGGCAGCTCCAGACACTGTTAGCAACCTGACTGCCTTCTGATGAGGAACGTACCAGCATGACCCAGTTCTGATTTGAGTAGGAAGCCTTGTTAGTTAGTTACTTTTGCATTACTATGGTCAAACTGCTTGATGGAGGGTTCATGGTTTGGAGGGTCTGGGATCATCATGGTAGGGAAGGGATGGCAGGGTTTGTGACACCAGGTGTGTGAGGCTCCTCAGATTACAGCAGATAAGGAAACAGAGTAAGACGAGAACCAAGGCATGTATAAGCTCCTGCTCATGGCCTAGTGACCTGCTTCCATGGCTGTTTCCTGAAGTTTCCACAGCCTCCCAAAATAGTACCATCAGCTGTGGATAAGCATTTAAAATATGAGCTTGTGGGGAGCGTTTCATATGGAACTATAATAACTTCTTTTCATGGGCTAACTCCCCTCCACTGGTGATCCTGCCTAGAGAAGGATCCTGGAGCTGAAGGGTAAATTCTGTGATTGATTACTTATGTCTGCCTGGGCTTGAGTTCAGCATAAAGCTGTCATGACCGTAGATGGAAAGTCACTGATCTCGCTTGAAGTGTGTCTTGAAGCGATTTTTTAGGTGTTCTGTCCTGTACCTACTATTTGATGCTGTCAGTTCTCCCAGCCACTCTGTGAGGTGCGGGAGCTTTAGCTACCTGTGTCGTGATTGGCTCAAAGCACAACCTGGGCCGGGTCAGGTTCTTGACTGTCAGCACCCCCAGCAGTCTTGTTCTGTTTCAGCTTTTGCCTGTGGCTCGTACTTCTCAAGCTACTACCCTCGCACCTGTCTCTCACCTGTGAGGTTCCTGCTTCTGTCTCCCAGGGATAAACTGTGGTCATGGCCATTCCTGGCTGGCCTCAGTTTCCTTGTCATTTAGGGGTTATGGGATATCTTGGCTGTCTGGACATTGAAGAGGTTTCACGGAAGGTAGAGACTAGGGAGACAGGAGCAGACAAAGTGTGGAGGACAAGACTGGAGAGTGGCCAGCCCACTCACCCCTGCTGCTCTCTCCTCAGGTCCCTAAGTGGACGCCTGCGCCTCGGGCTGGCTGAGCAGTCCGTCTTGGCTGCCCTTGCCCTGGCTGTGAGCCTCACACCCCCTGGCCAAGGTGAGTAGCTCTGGCCCATTTTTATGGCAACACTGTGTTTATAGGGCTCCCCTTCTCCATCTGTTGTCCCATTCTCCGAGAATGCTCTTAGGCAGCCTACCTCATTCCTTTCTCTGTCATAGGCCACACACTGCCCTCCATGACTATGGGCCCTTGAATAGCCAAGGGGTCATGTTCATAACTAAGCCACTGGTGGGTCTTTTCATAGAATTTCCCCCAGCTGTTGTGGATGCTGGGAAGGGCAAGACCACAGAGGCCAGAAAGACATGGTTGGAAGAACAAGGCATGATCTTGAAGCAGACCTTCTGGTGAGATGCAGGGCTGGGGCAGAGTCGTGGCCGACACGTGAGTGATTGACATGGGTCTAACACCAGCATGGGGCTGTGATCGAGGCAGGGGTGATGCTGGGTTGTGAGCAGTGAGAGGCAGACAAGGAGAGCATGTGGGCCTCGGGCACAACCTGCCTGGAGTTCCAGCCAAAGCCCTAAGGGACCCAGAGAAGAGGCTGTGACTACTCATAGTCGATGTTACAGGCACAGTGAGGGTTAGCGCTCTGTAGTGAGCCACATGGAGGGACTTTGGTGAGCAGCTGACCTACGACCTTTAAAACAGTGACCTCCTCAGTGAAGGAGGGCAGTGAACAGTTCCGTAAATAGCCCCAAGGCACCTGATCTGGGCCTGACTTCTCTGAGTACTGGGCACTCTGTGATAAGTTTTGTACACGTCACCCAGTGGCTTAGCATCTGGAGGTTCCACCATCTGCCAGGCCAGGCTCTGTCCTGACCCAGACCAGCCGGGACGGCCATAGCCTTGAGTGGGACACAGTCATTGCTCTTGGGACATGAGCAAGGGGTGAGGGAGGGTCCACGCTGAGGGAGACCACCCTCATGGGGTGGCACGGTGACTGGGAGTAGGACACGGTCACAGAGTTAAGCAGAGGTATTCAGGAGCCCCAGTCTGGCATGGGCTGAGGGGTCTCTGTACTTCCGCTTATATGTAGACAGCAGAGTTTTCAAGTTCTAGAAAGAACCTCCATGGGTTGGGTGTGTGGTTTACACCTGAAATCTCAGGACGCACTTGGGATTTCATGTTAGAGTCCAGCTTGGGACCCTGTTACAGTGCAGCAGATCCTGTCTTGTAAAATCCCTGAGTGGGCATGTGGCTTAGCAGTTGAGCACTTGCCCAGAATCTCACAGTTAGGTCGGGGCTAAGGCATGGCTCTGTGATGCAGTGTCGTCTGCCTAGATCCGTCCTGATCTGGGTTGGGGCTGTGGCCCAGCAACATCTCCTTCATATGCCTGAGATCCTGGGTTCTACCCTTCCTCCCAGTACCATGGAAGAAAACAAAAACCTTGTCATGTTGCTCTCTTCTCTTCAACCTCTCCCTAGTGAGGTACCTGACCTGGACCGAATCATCCCGGTGCTGCTGGAACATGGCCTGGAACGCCTCCCAGAGCACTGCAGGCTGAGCCCAGGTACCCGCCACGGGCCTTTGAGGCAGGGGCAGCTATCCTCTGGAGCCTGAGTGAGCAGCTGCACCCAGACAGCCTCTGACTGCTTGTTCTCTTTTCTGAGCCCCTTTCCTTTTCCGCTGAGCTCTCCCTTATGAACTGAGAGGAGCATGGGCTGCAGCAGCACACATTTCCCAGAAGGCTCAGGCAGTGGCTTGGCCAAGGAGAGTCTGTCATGCACCTCCATGTTCAGATCCCGGCAGGCAGCCATGGCGGCATGTGGCTGTGCTTCAGTGGTCATCCAAGGACCTGGGTTCCTTCTCTCTTGACTCTCTGCTGTCTTGAAGCTGTCACTCTAAGTCCTATATGATCAGGGACAGGGGAGGTAATCGTGTTGCTTGTCAAGCATGCGACTGGTGTAACCATACACTGCTCTTGTTACTCCTGTGCCCGCTTTATGACCTTTATTAGCTGCCAGGGAGGCTGGTACAGGGACCCAAGTGTCTCTTCTGAAATGTGGGTGGTCCTGTCCTTTACATGATAGCAGGAGAAGAGAGTAGTAGGTCCTGGGCAAATTGGTAGCCTTTGCTGCTCCCTCTATCTAATTCCTTGATCCATTGCCTTCCCTCTGCCTTCCTAATTTGCTTTCTTCCTTCCCAGGGGTCCCTCTTAAACCAATGCTGGCTCATCCCACTCGGGGTGTCAGCGAGGTACTGAAACGCTTTGAGGAGGTGGACTTTACCTGACTGTACAAATATGACGGGCAGCGGGCCCAGGTATGGGTGAAGCACAGCCCCTCCTGTGGGAGGACGGTACTCAGTACAGGCCCCGAATGGCACAGTCCTCTCTGACTTTAATCTGCCCTCTGTTCAGTGAGGGCAGTACCCTTCACCTCCAGCTTATGGCAAAATGGGGGTGCCAGGAGTTCTGACTACAGAAGGGTCATCAGATGCTAACTCCCCTGGTGCTTGGTGAATGTAATATGGTTGCCCTTCTGGAAGGCCCTGTGTGACTCCTAGTGCAGTGACAGGCATAGGCCTCTCGGGACAGG